TTTACGAACTCACCTACGAGATATGATGTGGCTGTCCGGTGATTACTATGCAGGGAACCAGGACACACGCACATGTGAGCGGAACCACAAAGGCGACACAAAAAAGGACAAACTGCCGTCTGACACTCGGTCCTATTTAAAACCGTTGAGCAGCATCCATTTAGTGATTATTAACTCATCGCCAGAAGCTCAGACGCGTTAGGCTTACTACAATAGGAATGTACTTAATTATCACAGGGAAGGGCAGTGCAGCATCAGGCATCTGTTTTCTCGTCCATAGCCAAATGGCCCGTCGGAGCCCATCGGTGAAACATTTGGACAGAGTGGTTGATGTGAATGTGATGTTCATTCTATGTACGTATGGCAACAGGACTCATGCAACGTAAGTAAGGCATAAATAACGTGAGTCCAATCAGAAGTTTTCCACCTCTTTAGATAAACACAACAGCGACCCATCTACTTGGGGAAGGAGGCTGCAGACAGTCCGGCTGTATGGACATTTGTGTCAACACATTTACTCGAGTAAGTGCATTTTCAGTTGCGCCAGGATTTGCCGATTACTATGTTTCCCATATACTCTGGATACCGAAAGGAGCAGTAAGATTGCTAATAAGATTCTAGGTAGTTTACGGGGCAACCCTTTCCACATGCAATACAGCCTAGGCATACTTTCCTATCAGCACTAGATTTCATCATTTAAGGAAGAATATGTACACTATAGTTCATGGACAGCTTTCGGAATCAATTTCAAACCGCATATAAGCCTGTGTGATGGAGTTCATTAACTCCAACCACGATTAATAAAGGCAATGAACAAAATGTAACAGAAATTAACGGGAGTGTAACTCAGTCGCAAAAACAATTGACTGAAAAACTCCAACAAGGCGGTTACGATTATTGGCTATAATGAGGGTTTTAGGTCATTAAGCAGTATTATGGCAAACATTTACTGGCGTACGAGCTCATGTTGGTTCATATTTACGTGAAGGATTAGATCCAGCAGTAGAAAATTAACTAATCAGGGAGCGTCTCTCGTAATCGGGATTAAGTGTGTGCAGTGGCTTCGATTTTGCTGTTATTTTTTGGAAATTAAATGGCTTTACCTAAGTGACACGGTTGCATAAAGGATAGGCTGCAAAATATTGTTTCCGCTACCTGTGTGCCCATCTATGTACTTCCAGTCAAGCCGCTAAACACATTTATAGCTATATCATTCGGCTGGGGCATGGCAACATTCTGTTAATCTCGAACAAATGCATCTGGTGCTCTTTGTCGTGCTCGACTGATGAGCATCTGGCGGGGAGAGGGGTTTGTGAGGTAAATCAATGTGCACGCCTCTTTCCCTGTGCCGAGATCAGTATTCGAGATTTAGGTAAAGTGCTTTTCCTTCCAGGGATGGAAAACAATGTTCAAACTAATGTCACATGCTGGCTGGGACTGCTCTAGCAGATCCAATTATTGGTCCATTCTGCTGTCCGCTCACTAAAGCAACGGGCAGCTGAAATTGAGTGGAATGCAATTCCAACAGAGTAGGAGTCTTGGTCTGAGTTTTGACCTGTATAAGCACAGCTGCAGTGAGCTCAATCATGGCAGTTCTTCTTACAGGTAGGTCTACAAAACAATTGTTTAGGGAAATCACCTCCTTCTTAGATGAAAGGGAGAGCGAAAATGTTGAGGACTAAGATTAAGGTAGATGGCTGGGCTTGTCTTTGTCGCAAAACAGCACACTCATCATCTCCGCTCTTAGTTGGTTTAGGGGCCTGCTTGAAATCATGTTAATTCAGCTTTTAACTTTCCTGAGAAATTAATTTATGTTCACGGTATACATCAGTATATTTAAAATCTATAGGCAAAGACGGAAATTGTAAGAATATAATTGGGTTGAAACCCGACAGGGGAATCTGGGCGACCCACTGATGAGCCGGACCCCTCACAGCTGTGTCAAGCAGCAGCAAAATGCTGGTGAAACACGTGTCAAGGCCTTTTAGTCAGTACTTAGGCTGTCAGTATGGTAAGTTACAAGATCAATATATACTACTTTAGTCTGTCCATTGGCAGCAAGTGCAGATTTCGCAGTTGTTGAGGGGTTTCAAT